ACACCAAATGCTAAAATTTTTATTTTAATTTAAAAAAAAAGTAAACAAAACCAAAAGCACTTGGAAATAAATATGAAAATGCAAACTACAAAAAGTATAGCAACAAAAGCAAAATCAACGGACGCAAGCTAGGCAAATTTTAAGGAAACACGAACAAATGAAGTTAAACAAAACCGGCAAACACGCACATACACACACACATACATAATCCATAACAGTACATTTGGCATAAATTTGTCTGATTATTAATTCGCCAAAATGTCAACGCTAGAAAGAATGCGAGATTTCGCTTGGAGATAAGTGAATTTATAGAGTTCACGCTGCACTTAGTGATTGAATATTAATTTATTATACCACTCACTTTGCGTTGACTCTTCGTACAACAACAATAAAATAAGAGCCAATAAACAATACTATTTTGATAAAACGAAGCAAAGATCCGCACAAAAATATTCCAAAGAAGAGAAATATTCTAATTAAAGGCAACATATGGCCACCAAGTGACACACACAAACACACAGACGGGCAACTTAACTGGTTACAGGTTGTCAAAAAAAAATCAAGTCAATTTGCGTAAACATTCACATAAAAATAAAATATTGGCCGCCGTTCGCGGGAATTGCGCAAAGTTTTTAATCGATTACTTGTATTTGGTCGCCGCGTCGATGATTTTGGGAAATCCGCAAATAAATATTTTGAATTTCTATGACAGATAATAAATTTGCCAAGAGCTATGCGCTAACAATTCGTTTTTTGTTGATGTTCAATAACAATATTGATATACGGACAGGCAACGCGGCTTGCGTACAATTTAATAGGGTGGGACGAAAATTAATTTGGACATAATTTTTTGCAAAAAAATAAAAAAGAACAGAAAAACCGTTAACACCGAACCTAGAATACGCTTCACAAATAAAAAGTTTCTATGCAAGAAATTGATTTTGTTTGAACGATTTGTATGGCAGCTATATGTTATGGCGGCCTGATCTGGACAATTTGTTCGCATATTATTGCATTAGCTTGGAAAATACTCTGTGCTAAATTTCATGAAGTTATCTTGCCAACTAAAAAAGTTTCCCACACAAGGACTTAATTAAGATCGTTCAGTTTGTATGGCAGCTATATGCTAAAGTGAATCGATATCGGCGTTACCGACCGCTACTGAAGCTCCTTGGGGTGAAAAGAAGGTGTACAAAATTTCAGATCCATATCTCAAAAACAGTGTGACTAATTCTGGTATATACGAACGAACGGGAATGATTAAATCGACTAAGCTCAAGATGCCGATCATTTATTGACCCTGTTCAGGTTATAAAAAATATTAAAATTTGACAGTACATCTTTTAATTAATATTATTCCGAAATTCATATTTGTGTGTTAAGAGGAAAAAAGATCGAGCCTTTGAAGAAGATGTCCTAGTTTTAATCAGAATTGTATTGTTTGTATGCCATAGTCCTGCGGGAAGTAAAGAACTGCAATGAGAGTACTCCATTTATTTCGATATTGTGTCAGCCTCTTGATTTGACTTCAAGTTTTTTGAACCTTAGTAAGGTTTGTCGCAACTGTAATTCGAAGCGTGCGCGCACAGACTAGATTCAATAGAGGGCGCTCCTAGCTAATGAATGAGCGGCTGGTCAGTTGTTTCTGAACACATGGAAAGTCAGGACAAACATTTTGGCGCGACGTGTTTCTGTGAGTGGTGCAAGCGACAGAGACGTTCCATATGATGAAGAAAGTTTACCCAGATGTTGCTTTAGCAAGATGTTGTGTATTTCGGTGACATTAGACCGATGAAGACCATGCTGGGAGACCTGCGACTTCGACAAATACCAAGAATGTGACTCAAACCGTCGACGTTTCGTTTAATTGCCCAGATGTTAAAGTTATCAAAATATGTGGTTCATGACGTTGTGACGGAGCACTTGAACATGCGCAAGGTATGCGCGAAGATGGTCCCAAAAGTGCTCACTGACGACTCGAAATTGCGGTGAGTTGAATTGTTGTATCAGGAAAATAGCTACCTAACCTAACCAGGTGTGGGCGCCTCGAACTTTTTTGTTTCCTTGCCTGAAAATGCCGATGAAAACAAGAAAGCATTTTGAGACAACAGAGGGCATCCAAGCAGCATGCACCTCGGCTCTCAAGGCTATTTTGAAATTTTTTGATTGTAACAATTGGTTCAATACATTTTTTTTTTTATCGACTCAGCCCTACTACTTTCCGGACAAACCCTGTAAGATCAATGAACTATCAACACAGATGCTATTAACCAGAACTAGAGGATAAAAGACAAAAATAATCCACCGAGAACAGCAAAGTTGAGACTTGTTCCTTTTAAATTTCAAGGAATAATAATTATATATGTATATGTATGTATATTAATATTATTGTAGTTATATAATAATATATACAGAAAGGTACTCGTAAACTTACGTGTTACTGATTGCGTTGAAGGAACCGGAATTTTCTGCTTTTTCGAAAACGTATTTCAACAACCGTAGCGATATTCTCATATACATTATTTCGAATCTGAAAAACATACATATATATATTTTGTTAAAAGAAATTTTTAAGATTTTTTGTGAAAATAGTAACATATTATATTTATATCATTTATGCTAAGCGATTCACCCTAATATGTTTATATACACATCTGTATGTAAGCACGCATGTTTCTGCATATTGTTTTAGTTAATCAAAAGTAATTTTTTTTTTTTTGACTTGAGATGTCAAAAAAGTGTAAATAAATAAACAAAATAAACTAAGAAATCAATAAATATGGTATTTTTACCGGTATTTTGACGTAAATGGTCAACAAACAAAAAATATATGGAATTTAAGAAAGTGTGGAATGTTGAATGGCAACATTTGAAGATATGCTCGTATGTATGTAAATACGTATTCTTATTTGTACATCTGGCAATAAAGGTTGTTGGTTAGTCTACATGAATTGAGCAGTAATAAAAAGAAGAAGAAAAAAAACTATTGTAGCAATTGTAGATCTGTAAGTGAGTGATGAAAATAGCTCAACTTATACATTGATATTACACAAGGAAAATTGTCACACGAACTAAAAAATAGGAATTCTCTCGGGATCCCGATTTACTAAGCCCCAAATATTTGTAAAAACAGAAAAGTAAGAAATTGGTATTCAAAATATAAATTTACGCCCATTATAGTACTTCAATTTGTAAATTTCGGGATCCCGATTTACGAATCCCGACAAAAATAAGAGTTGGAACTAAACAATTGAAATACAAATTTGAGTTTTTATTATACTTTAATAAATAAAAGCTAGAAGAAGGTATTCGGAATATAAATTTGCACTCTTTATAGAACTTCAATTGGTAAATTTCGTAATCCGGTTTTACTAATCCCGAAAACTTTTGTGAAAAAAATAAGAATTGAAACTGAATGATTACTGTAAAACATATTTTCGTTTTTATACTACTCTAATTTGTAAATTGCGGAATCTAGATTTACGAATCCCGAAACTGTTTGTGAAAAGGAGAATAAAAAAGTTAATATATAATATAATATATTCGAAATACCAATTCACATTTATTATAATACTTCAACTTTTAAGTTTTGAAATCCCGATAGTATTAATCCAAAAAATGTTACGAAAAAATAAGTGTTGGATTTAGACAATCAAAATACAAATTTAAGTTTTTATCAACTAGTAAATGTCGGGATCCCGATTTGGCAATCCCGAAAGTGTTTGTGAAAACTATAAAAGTTCAAACTACATACGTATTCGGAACAGATATTTAAGCTTATAATAAAGATTCAATTTGTAAGTTTCGAGATCCCGGTTTACAAATCCCGAAAATTTGTATAAAAAAAATAAAGGTTGCACAAGGTATACGAATACAAATTTCCACTGGTTATAATACTCTAATTTGTAAATTTCGGGATCCCGAAATCATGTTCAGTAACTTGTTAATGTCAGACAAATATTTTCTAAGGACTGTGACTTTGCATTTGAAAAGCGACGAACGTCATACATATGTATATGTATGAATGAATGTAGAAATGCGAATTCATGCCTCTATTAAAATCCTTAAGCTTTCTTAAAAATCTCGCTATTTATAGTATTTTAAAAAATTTCGCACCAAGTATTGATGTATCACTGTTTGCTCAATTTATTTGCTTAGTCTATTTTAATTTTAGTTGTTTGTAATTCCCGCTCATTCATCAGTTTTAATCCTACTATGAGTAGTTAAGTTGGTGCCATTCCACTTTCGATGTTCCATCAAAATTAAGTGCGAAAATAGAAACTGTTTATCTAACTTATTTATATCTAGAGATAATAGTTCGTACGAAGGCTGAAATTCACCAAAAGAAGATTACGCTGTCAGTTTGGTGGGATTGGAAGGGCGTGGTATATTTTGAGCTGCTTAAAAGGAACCAAACGATTAATTCGGATGTCTACTGTAAGCAACTGGACAAATTAAATACAGCTTTCAAGGAGAAGCGAACAGAATTGGTCAATCGTAAAGGTGTCATATTCCACCAGGATAACGCTAGACCGCACACATCTTTGGTCAGTCGCCAAAAACTGAGTGAACTTGGCTGGGAACTTTTCATGCATCCACCATATAGCCCTGACCTTTCACCCTCAGACTACCATTTGTTTCGGTCTTTGCAAAACTCTTAGAATGGTAAACATTTTGATAAGGACGAGGGCATAAAATCCCACTTGCTTCAGTTTTTTGCAGCTAAAGGCCAGAATTTCTATGAACGTGGAATAATGAATTTAAAGGAAAGGTGGCGAAAGGGCATCCAACAAAATGGAAAACATTAAAGTTCATTCTAAAAGTCAAAAAAAAAATGTTTTTACTTTTTTTTGAAAAAATCACCGGTTTCTTTTCGGTCAACCCCATACCTTTGAATTGTTAGTTCTCATCAGAGTTGCCATATATCTAACACCGAATACATTACATATTTTATGCGACCGAGAGCAAAATATTAACTTTACGATCAATTACTTGCTCGGTCTCATTAACAGGGTTTCCATCTTTTTCACAATATTGTCATGCATTAACTTATCTTATTTCCAAAATTCGAAAGCAAGTCTTTAATCTAGTACAGATATATAATATTTGTGTATAATTCGTCCACCGGCTTTCTTTAGCATTAAACGGAGTGCTTCAGAGTAAATTTCTGAAATGACAGAGAAAAAGTTTCTTATAAAACCAAAAACCGTTCGAAGATAGCTTCGAAGTTATGAGAACCTCTTTCGATTCTTCGGATAACATTAAGCTGCGCAACAAATAAGAGACGAAACTTCATAAAGAATCATCCCTCAGAAAAGCATTGTATTCTGAAGACTTTTGTGTGGTTAGGTTGTGTTAAATTTTGATCCAGAAAAAATTCAGACACTATGGCGAAAAAGGTTTACGACCATTTTGAACGTAAGGTTCTAAATGTCGTCAGGTCCCTCATAAGTCAGAACAATTCCAGTAGACTGGGATGCGTTTAAAGTATTAAGTTGCTATATAACTGAATTAGAATACGCAATTTTTCAAGGCTGTATATCTAAACCTATTACTCAGATCAACTTGAAAATTTAGGACATTATTCTACAGTTTTTGTATATTAAATCAGGTAATAAAATATTTTTTTTTAAGCTCGCTAACCCATGTTACCCCTTAGTGATGGAAGGGCATCGAGGTAGATCGTAGTCGACTGCTGGAACAATCACTGTACAGTGAGATAAGAACCTACGTTTTTTTGAAATTTTATTGGTTTTTTAGGCAGTGATACCTCCAATCTTGTTAATTTTATTCAAAATAGTCGCCTTCTGTTTCAATACAGCTTTTTGCACGGTCCAAAAGCATGTCGAACGAGTGTTTTAGCTCGTTGGCCGGCATGGTCGTCAGTATGCCGGTGCAAGCCTTTTGAATGGCCTCTATGTCTGCATAACGCTTTCCTTTCGTGGGCAAATCCATTTTTCCGGTTAATGGTTAAAATGTGATTTTTGATCAAATAATCGTTCACAAGCATCGATCGATGAGACGGCACATTATCGTGCAACAAACGCCAACTTTTATCACACCTTTCGTAAGCCCAAATGTTGGGTCCAAATACGATCAATCGATGTTTTGGAGATGTTCAATTCCATTTCCATGAGTCGGCTGATTTTTGATGAATTCACGCTTAGTTTCGATGGAATTTCCGGTGATCAGGGATTTTGATTGGCCCACAAGTTGATCGTCATTTATGACCTCACGACCACTTTGAAAACGTTGAAATCACTCGTGCTCAGCTACGGTATCTAAGGGATAGGCAATCATCGCCGAGAACTTGTTTCATCAATTATAACGTTTCTGTAAAAGTTTTACCAATTTCAAAACTAAATTTAATGTAACATTTAACCGATAACACAAACATGCTGACACTTAAAACGCAATTACTTCACTTCCAATCCATGAAATGTCATGAAATTCTCACTGGACAATCGATAACAATAGCAGATTCTAACGCACCAATCGACATAAAGATGGCGCCACCAGGGGACACTTGAATGGTAAATTGGAAATAACACTGAGGAACGACGGAGTATGTGTGAACTTAACGGAGTTTTCTTGGTGAGTTTGGACTTTAAGTTTTACCCAAAAGTGAGAGCAACCAGATGAGACTATATATTTGGTCTCCAAGTTCAAGATTTCATCAGATATTTATTTGAAAAAGTTTATATGGACTTAAGAGATTAAAGAGTGGAATCAACGAAATCGTTTAAAGTCAATCGCAGTACTTCAAAACGCAGTCATATAAAACTATAACTTCGAAACTATCACTGTAGAGAAACGACCTTCGGTTGCGGCGACTATCAGAAGGTTTCGAGACCACTACTCTTGTAGAACCACCAGAGAGGAGTGACTGATGCCCAGAGCATACTGAAATTATAGTGGCATACTTCTGCAACCTGCTGAAAGGCAGTAAAAGAGCAGACATTCTATTGCCTGATCGTGAAGAAGCGTCGTTGGCCAAGCTATTCAAATAAGGCGTTGAAGAATTGATGAGGGGTATGCATTAGCTTCAGTGTGGCTTTAAGCTTGGAAAATCAACAACTGACAAATTAATTGGTATCCCCGCAAAACGAATACGTAAACTGACGTTGAGGAATACCAAAAGCTCTGTTAGGATCGGGAAGCCTTTCTCACTATCGTGCGACTTTTTCAATCTACTCCTCGAGAAAATAATTAGTGCTCCAGATCTGATCTAGAGAATGCACAATATTCTGTAAGAATGTACATCTGATGAGTCGGCGTTACGAGTTTTCGGGAGAAAGGTTCTGTGGAAGATTTACGGCTCTTTGCGTTTTGGTCACGGCGATTACCTCAGTCAAGTCGTATATACGATATACGACGACATTGACACAGTTCAGTGAATTAGGAGACAGCTGGCTAGGTCATGTCATCCAAACGGAAGAAAACACTGCAGCTCTAAAAGTATTCGATTTAGTACCCGTCGTTGGAAGCAGAGGTGCAGAAAGACCTGAAAGCTCTTGGTATCTCAAATTG